ATTCCATTGAATTCTCCCTTTACACTAAAATGGGTGTCGGGGATGTTTAACAATCACCAAGGATCGTTAAAAAATAAGTGTTTAAAAAATCGATTTTCTCATAAAACAAAAAGATTTAAGCTATTAAAGGTTATGTATTATAAACGTATATGAAATTTTCTAGATATCCTGACATAATTTTATCACTATGTTTTCCTAAAATATGAAAAAAAAAACTTTTTCCCATCATGGTTCTGGTCAAATTAGCGACTCTGCTACAATTACTTTTTTCATTGCTATAACGAAGAATTTATATGTTAAAATACTAAAATCTTAAATCAAAAAGAAACTACTTTTATAAATAGACGAAAAAGAACGTTGAAAACTTGTGATCATTAATTTTATTAGAAATTGAAAGAAATTGTCATTTTCTTTACGGTTTCTAAAATAAAAGTATTTATTTTGCTGGCTCCCACCCGCATCAATCTCTTCCGTTTTAAATAAATTAAAGAATGATGAATTGCGAAAATCGACTGGATCGAAACCGCGAATATTTCAGGAAACGTTACGGCCAGACAATGATTAATTAACGAATGTTTAAAACTATCCAGGACTCCAGGAATAACTAGTGAATAATGAAAAATGACCCATTCTCATTTTTATAATTAACATTTTTTTTATATCCGCCTTTATTCGGACAGATTATTTCAGTGCATATTAAAATTGTACAAAAATAATTTTCAAAAAGTATATCTAAACACACAGTTGTGAAAGGAAAAATAATTCTAAATTTCATAGAAGTTTTTGAACTTCCTAATTTTATAAGAATAAAGTTAATTAATTGTTAATTATGTGTTCTGTATAAAATTGAATTAAATATAAATATATGTTAAACACTAATAATAAGTAAAATGATTCTTATTGTTCTACAGGGTTTTACTTTTGCTATCATTATTAGTTCAGTACCTAATAATATATGTATTGTTGTTTGATGTCGTATTAAGTTTCAGCTTAGTTTAACAATAATCTATTGACTTAATATACAGCAACATCGAAGGATTACTAATTAATATACATTAGTTAAAATCGTATTGTTTGCATATTTACATAGAGAATGAAACATGATATACAGTGGTTTTCGTCTTACACGGTATTATATCCATTATAAGTTGAAACAAAACATATTAAAATTATTTTTTGAGGTTTTTATAAAACTCTTAAAAAAGAAAAGATTTAGATTTTACAGAAACAGAAAAAATTACTGAATTATTAACATAATTTTCCTTTTTGAAAAATTAAATACGAAAGAAGGTCTTGACACACAAAAAACTAATTAATAAATTATATGAGGAATAAATTAAATTTCCACTTGATTTCGAATTTTAGCGAAATGTATTTCGAAATAAAAGCGGAGAAATATTAAGATATACTGCTCAAAACAAACTGGAGGGAAAATACGAATCATTATAAATGTTGCTTGGAGTTTATACAGAACATTTAGTTTATCTATTGTGATATAAGTTTGCGACTTGGAGAGTAATCTGGTATTTGTAAGGAAGGAAGCCCAGAATAGCAACTCGCAGCTTGGAGAAACAACATATTTTGCCACAATAGTTTTGTATCTTGCATGAGTAGAGTTAATATTGTGAGAAAACTATTACTAAATTACAGTTCTCACCACAAAATGGGAATCTGTTCTAATGAATAAGGAATATTTTATCTCATAATTTTAATCCCAGTCAGTGTTAAATACGCATAACAACCAAAAATGATTGAAATAGGTGTGTCTATTAAATTTGGTTGGTAATAAATTTATGTTTAAATATTTATCAAATGTTCAAATATTTATCAACTATAAATAATATGATTAATCCCCCCGTTTAATGATATTAAATTAGTTTTCTCCATAATAGTAAGACTAAACAAAACGAGATGAAAAATAATTGGATTTAATATGAAGGCTTTCTAATTTAACTTTTGCATAAGCCTCTCGAAATAAATACAATTAAAAGTATGATAATAAAATTATTGTTTGATAAACAATAAAGCTACCAAAATCTAAAATTGTAAATTTAAAATGAATTGATATACTTTTTTTTAAATTTTTTAGTGTCAACTTTTTTTAGCTGAAATCATTTATAAAAAAACAACAAAAAATCCAGTACATAGAAGCCTCCCCAAACACAAAATCATAAAAATGTTTCTGCGGAAATGCATCAATCTTTTTTCTCCGACTTTAGAATAACTAAAATCAGTTACATGAAAGCATGTTCCTGCTTTATATTCTAAACTCTTTTCTAAACATAAACACACAAAAAATTCTGCGTAAATATGTCATTTTTATAAAATAGTGTTAACTTTAAAATAATGCCGGGACCCCATTAGCCAACAGGCCACCCTACGCCACGCCACGACATCTGTGCGTATGTTTTTCCATTTAATTACATGTATTGCGTACACACTAGGCAACACGCCACCCCACGTCACGCCCCACACGCCATCCCACGCTATCACACGTGGGTCTTCTATCCCAGATCTCTGTGTACACTCTTTCCCACGTCGCAACACGTGGGACAGCGTGGCGTGTGGCGTAATGAGGTCCCGGCTTAACTGATATTAGTTGAATGAAAACATGTTCCTGCTTTACATTCTATGCCAAACCAAACCAAACTGAAGCAATAAAAACACGTTGTAAGCTGAACGAATGTTCACACACCTGTTTACGAACTCCAGTTGCCGAGGGATTTTCAAATCTTGCTATATTTTACAATATTTTGTCAATAAATGAAAATGGTACATTTCCGCAGAAGTTTACTGCACGTTTAGGTTTAGAAAAATTTCTAGAATGAAAAACAGAAACGTGTTTTTGTGTGTTTCAGCTATTCTAAAGTTGAAAAACTGAAAATTGCATGGGCATTTCAACAGAAATTTTTTTGTTACATTCTATTGGAAAAGGCTTCCAAATGCTAAATCAGCAAATATTTCTTACATAACTGATTATTATAATATTTTTTCCATCGGTACCACTAATTCTAAAATCTTTATAACACAGTTTTGCCAACTACGTATTTCAATCATTTTGGATCTCCCCGTATTAATAACACTGACGATATATACACTTAAATCTGAATAAAACTAGTTAAACAATGCTGTTGTTAATCTTAGGTTGTAAACTTAACAACCAATTTTCTTGTATATTTTTAATTATGTTAAAAGAGAAATGGAGCATCATATACCAGAATGTTATGAATTTGTCTCGTAAACTTGTACGTTTAAAAATAATCTTGAAAAATGTTGATCTTTAACAGACTGTTCCTTCTCCATTGCCCTCACCCGTATTTTATGTTAAGCATTGCGAGTTTCAGACAGTAAGTTATTTTAAAAATATATTAGCCCGGCCGAATGTAGCGAAGAGAGGCTGAGGAAAAAATGTTTTATTCAACATTGTCGCAGTCCAAAAAAAGTCCGATAATTTAACATCATCTCCACATATATTTGAAAGCCTCAATTTTTATCATTTTTACGCGGTTCTGGGTAATATCTTTGCGAGAAATAGATATAAAGAGTTTCGTGCTATTTTAGACGTTGATTGATAGGCCCCGTCAAAAAATATTTTTACGAATGATTGAACAGAATTCGATCGAAGTCGATCATCTAAGAGAGTGCCAATACCGTAGACGATCCTAAATAAGTAAGAGCAATATTACATAAAAAATTAGGTTTATATATTAAAAAAGTACAGAAAATTTTCTATAATTCTTGAAATTTTCATAATTTTATTATTATTTTCGCCATTTTTTCGAGCTTCTTGAAAATTAGTAAAAAATAGCAAGAAATATATTTATATAACATTTTAAATGTACATAACATTTCCTACTAATTCTGAAATTTTCAAAATTGTAAGTTCAAGCTTACTTTTAAAACATGTAAAAATTACCAATTTTACGAGTTTTTTCCATACATACAGTCCATTTTGTTCATACAAAATAGCCAATTTTAAAAATCTTGATATGGCTTCGACTATCAATACCATCAGCTTTAGATGCCTATTAAGCTTACAATGTCCTGTTATCTGTCACAGCTTTGACTGTCTTTCTGCATTTGCTTATCAGGTTTACCGTGAATTTTGATGAATATTTGGTCTCTGCCCTGGAGAATTTCTCCTTCATTCTAGAAATTTGTTGATTACCCACTGTTTTGCGGCCATTTTTGCACCTGCTTCTGCAACGTCCCAGAATCGCAGAATAACATTGGCGAGCCTTGTTTGACGAGCCATGTGACTCTCAGCTGTGACTCTCGTGCCCTGATACCTATGCTAACGTAATATTGCTAAGCTCACACAATGTATTTAGGGCTGTATCCAGTCTTCCCTTCCTGGTTTACTTTGTTGATAAAGCTATGGCCTTTAAGCTGTTGCATCTAGCGGTATTCTCAATATCTTGTCTGCTTTTAGCTCTTTGATTAGCTTCTGGTTTACAGCACGATGCACCTGAATTATGTACTGTTGACCATGAATTAACCTGTGCATGGCAGATCTGGTTTTGCCTTGTATAAAAATCTGTAGTGGTGGTAGATTCAACAAAACTTCCATCGCATTTGTGGGAGTGATTTTCATGGCTCCCGTTACACAAAGGCAATCAAGCCTTTGTGCAGATTAGCATACGTCTTACAACTCTTGTGTATGACCGTAGTCATTTTAGGGTTAATTCCCCAGTTTTTTCAAAATATACTTCTGCACCTGCCTAAGAAGATGCAGCTTTCTGTGTTGCTTTAGCTATATTAGTATTCCAGTGAACCTTTTTTTATCAACATATACACCAAGATAACATCTGTTTCCTAAACCTGAGATGGGATATTAGGTAATTAGCAGGGACAACTTGGGCCCGCATAGCCAACAATAGACAACAATGGGCCCAATAAACTACAAAGAGAGTATCTAAATATGTGAGGGACGCTACACCATAATTGGAAATAGTTGAATAAGCTGAAAATGATGATGATGATGATGATAATGATGAACATGTGTTTCTCCAAGCACCAATGATTTTAGGCCTTATGGTGCTACTTCTCTGTCATTACTTGTAGACCAACCCCTGTAGAATGTTCGAGAGGGAGCGAGATAGAGTGGCGGAAGTCATGTCGCTGTTAGAGCTGCACTGATACGTCGAGCAGAGTCATGTGTAGCAGAGTATCTGGTGCTGGTGCTCGGCCTGACCGACTAGATGGAATAAGTGAAAGACGTAGCGCAGTGTTCATCGGAATCGCCGTGGAGCTGCCCAGACTCGCTATCGCTATGGCTTTGGCTTTAGTTCACATCTGTGTGCACTCATAGTATAGAAAAAAAAACAAAACCAAAAAAATGATTTAATCTAAAATTCATCTGTCGGCACTCTAAATTTCGGTACTCACGCGACTTAATAACTAACTTAAAAATTATGTATATGTATGCATATATACGTATTTTACGTATGTATACATGTGTATATAGAGACTAAACTAAACTTGTTCTTTAAAAACTATCGTGTACTAAATAAACAAAGCTAAAGAAACGAAAAAAGGAAAATAAAAACAACACAACCTAAACTAAAACATGAGACTTAACTAAACTAGCAACTTTAAATGAGATAAAGATTTAAAACGAAACGTTATTAAACAATTTTTAGCGCTGGCTCCAAGAATTTTTCTGCTCTTCAAACCGATATGCAGCATTGTTATTTCTACTGCCGACCAAGAGCTCTGACTCTGGTAGTTTTTCTGCAAATCTGCCTTTTTCTCCCACATGGTACGACATCACTTTATTTCTTATGTATTTTTTAAAGATATTGATTCAGCATTTTAGTAGATTTTGCCATAGTCCCTAAAATATTTATTGTAAGCTAGTAGTATACCCGTGATCGTTGTACATAGTAGATGTAGATGTATAATAAATATTCTATGTTTTGTTTCAGCTGTTCATGTAGTTTCTTCGTTTTTATTTTATTCATGTACCTTTTATTTGTTGACTTAGTTTTTGTATTAAATATAATCGTTTCTTTTTCAGAATATGTATTCAATAATTGTTATTTGTATTCCCAAGTTATCAAAATCCATTTATTAGTTATAATTAATCAAAAAATAGAACACTAAAATAACCAAACTCACAATTAAAAAATAAGTACATAAATACGTCAAACTTAATAAAATACGTTATATCTTTTAATATAGAAACAAAATAATCCTGTAGAAATAGCTTTTATTTTATTTTCTAAAAACTGCGAATCATAAAATTTAATATTATGATAAATATCAATTAGAGTGTAACTAAAATTACTTCAAACCAATAATAAAATAAATTTAAAAACACTAAATCACCTAAATTTTCAAATTTGTAGTTTACTACTTAGAAGTACAAATAAAACAAAAATTATAGTACATCTTAGATTTTAGTTGAAATATATGTAAAAATAAAATTATAGTTTTAGATTTTTTTAAGTAGCCTCCCATACCTTTTTGTCACTATTCATCCCAAATTCCAGTTAATTACAACTTTATAAATATTTACACTATCTTATTGTATTTTTGGCAATTGAATTTCGTATTTTTACTCTTGCGAATGTTTTATTTTTAGGGAAAAAATATAACAGACATTTTTTAAAGTAAAACGATATAAATATATTAAGGTATAAGCCGTTATAGTATAGCCCCTGGAAATGATGTGACCTAGAAAGAGCAACTTCATTCATATTAAACGTTATTATTTTAAATAAAAAAGATCTGCCTCAAATAGCTGCAAGGCCGAGAAAAAATCTCAGCGACGGAGATTTTTTTAACAAAATTAACTGTATTTTTTCTGTTATATTAAAGGCGCATGCTTTTCACTTATTGAAACTATAAATCTAAAATAAACTTTATTTAATATAAGCACTATTGGTTGGTCCGAAATTAGAAAATGGACATATATTATAGAACTAAATTCTCAAAGTAATACCTAGTTGATAGATATACCTGTAACCCAGATTGATTATCCCTTTCAGCAGGCTTTACATACTTGTATGAACTTTTATTCACGTGACCTTTATGAGGTTTGATTTTATGGTCAATAGACAATTTATTAAATATAAAAAAATGAAACACAAAACCGAACATGTTCTTGTGGAAAACACGCTTTTTAAAACGACCTTTAACCTTATCATTAGCCATGTTCATTATTTTATTACAGAGAATTATTTGTTAAGAATTATTAATAAAAATTCTGTTTTTTAGAAAACGTAGCGTATTTTTGCAAAAATATCTGATAAAAAGCAACAATAGAATTTCGAGAACACAATAATAACATCGTAATATTAGGAACTTATTTACGTTGTCAACAGACAGCCGTTTTTTATATAAATAGATAGGATCCGAAAAAGACATAATTAATTTTAACAAAAGGCTGAACTCATCAATTACAATAGGCATTGAATAGGAGGGTTATCTCGTAGAAACTTCTATTGATTCAAAAATTCAAGTTACAAAGGACATTCAATAAAAATAGGCCATTCTTGGAGATATAATGATAAAATAAAGATTCTCGTTTTCGATAAGGCAGAATTTAATAAGAGAACAAGAAAAGCAGTCAATCTTAATTTTCCTTTTGTTTCATAAAAAACTAAGAGTAAAATCTTAAATCTTTCGGAGTTAAAACTAGATATAAAATAATAATTTATTTGAACACCCCTAGTTTCCGGTAAAGTAAATCACTCTTAAGTCCCTTGAGCTCAGTGGTCACTATTCGGAGTCATTTGTCTTTAGAATCCCTAGAACTCTAGGAATTCTACTAAAGGATAATCCTACTCGGAAATGTTGTGGTTAAAGTCATTATTGAATATACTGGGTGTATAGACAGAGTATGCAATATAATCTACAAAACCTATTAAGTTAGGATGAATGCATAAAAGAGATTGGGTCAAAAGAATTTGGAATTAATTTTTGAGACCATTTGCCTTGACGTTCTACTTTAATAAACTGCAGTATCCATAGCTATTTAGAAAGATTAGTTGAGCCTTTTATCCTTGCGAAACGACGGTTATTGGATATTGGATTCGAATTTCGGCCACCTTCTTTGATTTTCTTTTGGTTTCTTTTACAATACTTTTCGGAAAGACAAATCTCGTATCGCTGGAATTTCTAATAACATTTTTCAAGCACGTGAACAACTATTTGAAATATCTAAAACGTTCCTAAAGTGCATCTAAATCTGATGAAAGTTTCCCAAGCAGCATTTCAAACTTGAATTAAAGTTTGTATCAGAGTTAACATGGAGTTATATGCATGTATGTGTTATCTTTCTACGTACAAATGTTCTCTATATTTTAAGAACCTATCTCCGACAAAATATACGTAAATTTCTCTCGAAAATTGTGAAAGCAAGGAAGGAAAAGTGGAACGCACGAAAGGTCACATTACATAACTGGGTTATTTTTTTTCAAAGGGATATTTTAACAACATAAAAGACGGAGAAAAGGTATTGTTTGGGTTGAGAGGTACAATTTATGTTAGAGGGCACGTAAAATTTGAAAATACAACTTGGCAATGTTTGGAAACCTTTTTGAGACGTATGGCTTCAACTAGAAATATATAAAACTCTTCGTTCAATTTATTATTTTGAATTGAAGTGAGAGAAAATTATTATATTTGCAAACGGTTTTTGATTATTACACTTCAAAAAAAAAATAGTAATATCCATAACTATTAAATAAGATTTTACATTTCCAATATTTTATTGACAATAATAAAAGCCTTATATTGGCTGCCTACCAAATGGCTTTGTTTTGTATATTTCTGGCACTTTATAATTTTGAAATTCATCTTTCGTTTATTATTAATATTTGTGAGTATAAGTTAAATTAATTATAGGTATGTATATATTATTATTGTATTGGGTACCATTGGTATTTATTAAAATAAATTAATACTATATGTATTACTAAAATACTTAATTCAATCTTTTATTATCTTAATTCGAATTTTTTTGTTAATTTTATATTTTATCTTGAATCATTTTTATTAATACAAAAATAACTTAAAATATACCTAGAAAATATAAATAATGTAAATAATAACATGAAATATATTTTTACAGTCAATCCCAACGGTATTCGCATTCAGATTTGGGCAAACAAATATTGGCAAAAGTTTGGATATATTGAGAAAAAAAACCTAAGAAAATTTTAAATATAATGGTTATACGTTTTCGTTTTTGTTTGTCCAACCAAATGTTAATAAAATAATATAAAATAGTGCTCTTCGCTAAAAAAGAAAAATAAAAATCCAATTTTTCATAAAAAATGGAAATAATTAAAAACAAACAATGGTCTCTAAGCGCTTAACAACCCTAAAATCATGACGCATTGATTTTTCAAGGGATTTACTGCTATATTATTTCCAAATTTACTGTTCTTTTTATTTAAAATTATATTTCATATTTTTCATATTTATTATTATTTAAGAAATTATTTTTCGTAGAAAACATAGCCAATTCTTTTTTTTGTATAGCTTTATCGAAATCATACAGATTCCGTTTCATATATAAACTGTATTTTTCTTTTTCTTTTTGAATTAGTAATGCCGAAAAATTCTTGTTATTCCACGACAAAAACCAACACGAGATATTTTTATTGAAAACAGTTATATTGCTGTCACTTAACATCACTTTTATGAAAAACACTTGAACTTGTCAAGTCAACTTTATTTCGAGAAAAAGGCGACGTATAAATTGACTTTTCTTTCATCTATCTCAACCCCAAAAATTAGGGTGAATTTTACTCTGGAAATCTTAGATGGAAAAAGTGTCAGAAGACACAAGGCTTTTGAACAGCGATGAATAGACTTCAGAATGATTGCTATTTTCATTTTTAAATTACTTTAATTCCCCTTTTATTTTCTAAAAATAAACCTGTTGTTATACAGGGATTTTATTGTATTGATTTTTAAATAAATGCAGATCTTTTTTAATATGTATAACATTTTAAACATTTTTGATGTTTACTACATATGTACATACAACTTATTCGCGTGATTTTCTACTAAATTTATAGAATATTAATGATTCAAAATAGTAAGTAATTATTTATTAAAGGTCATAATTCATGGGGATATTGTACTCAATTATTAATTAAAAACTAATTAATTTTCTTTATGAAAAATGTAATATTCGAAGGGAAACTATTAATTATAATTATAACGATAGAACTACTAAGTAGATAAGAGTCAACAAAATTCATAAGTAAAAAAACGACTTCTATATAAAAAAAATTGTTAGTGCATTATGTGCGCACATTTGAAGTGAAACTGAAGTTTTTTGACGTTTCTTACGTCAAAACTAACTGTCACAGTGACACGTGTCGTACACGGTCAAGTTGGCCTTGGTTCAGTCTAATAACATACCAAATTTCATTTAAATCGGACAATTTTTTCTAAGCCGTAGGCCTTACCACTTTTCCACTCGCTTATCGTGTCGCGTGTCGCGTGTCGTGTCACGGCTTTGAATTTTTACTCCCAGCGCGCGTAAAAAAGTTTCACTTCGATAATGTCTATACGTGTCTATACTTTTTTTATTTTCTAGATGTTATATATATATATATATATATATATATATATATATATATATATATATATATATATATATATATATATATATATATATATATATATATATATATATATATATATATATATATATATATATATATATATATATATATATATATATATATATATATATTCATCGTTACAATATTGCTTTCTAACTTAACAATGACGTGG